GTGCCTCCTCAGCTTCCATCCGTTCGCCTCGGGACCTTCCGCCGAATAACCGACTCCCAAGAGCCTTTTTGCCTTCATCGCCTTAGTGAGCTGAGCGGTTGGTTTCACCAGTTTCTCCTGGCACTATGCAAATGTCTGGCAGCTGTACGTATCAGAAGATGATATGTGACTTTTGGCTTTTGGCCTTGCTCATGGGATTCGCTGCTACTTCAACTCAATGTACAGGGAAATTCTCTCTTCATACGCTTCCTGAGTGGCGCTTCAAGCTGGGAGATCCCGCCTGATTTGGCGAAGGTGTAAAGCAACAGCCATTCATACAGTTAATGACCTGAGTAATTCAAGTCCGGCGCAAAAAAGCATGTTCGCACGGGCCCGCCCAATGCGTTCCAGCCTGGGTATTTGCTTCCATACAGCAGAACTGGTTACATACTGGGACTGAAAAACACCACTTTCCTAGTCGATGCTGTATTAGACTTGGAGAAAAGGCGTCTCGTAACTTGGTAGAAGCTTCGCCACGCGACAACTACTAACTCGACTCGGCTCGGCTCGGCCTGGTGGGGAGATAAGTTGCAAAGGGGCGGTAGATGGCTGAGACGGGTGGGGGAAGGGAATGAACCGGTGATGATGGTTTGGGTCTCGAAGGTTCCGCTTCCGAGTAGGGACAGGAACGGGGGCGAGATTTGTAGGGGAAAGGGGTCTGTGTAGGTTTTTATGCCCAAGCTGGAGCGGATTTGAGGAGTTAGCAATGGTGAACGCAATGCCTGGAACCTTACCTGAGCCAAAAACGGTTTTCGCAGCTGAAACACGAACCTAAAAGTGAGTGCATTTTGCGCGACGAGCCGAGTTTTTGTTCCTAACCACCTCCCCCCCTCCCCTCTTTTCACCTACTTTATGATGTTACAATCTCTGTTTTCCCTCACTTGTGGTTTCCATCTTCTTTCACTTCCTCTTTCTTTTTCTTTATGCGCTACGAGCGTCATACTGACGAGGTCCAGTCGCAGTATTAAGATGTATATGACTTAATGGGCCGGAACGTCCAAGAAAAAATCAGATTACAGGTGACTTGTCAACAATGCTCGTGTAACGGTAACTGATACAAGTAAACACTCGAGTATCCAGGTAACTAGCCAATCAGGAATGTGTAAATGCGACCCGCTACCAGGTACAGGTGAGGGCATGTTACCTGTAGTCTGATGTTTTTCGTGTCTTATCTCGCTCTTCTCTAATCTACACTATTTCTTTTCTCTTGAACTCCTCCACACCTTCGCCATCTGCATTTTAAGGGTCTGCGTGGATGCTACAGTCTGCTTAGTATTTGCATGGCTGTTTTTGCTCCTCTCATGCCCCCGCTGCATTTTTTGTTATGCGAGCAATAAAAAGGGATTTCTGTAATGCGGCGTGAATTTATTGTGTTTTTACTTAAATCAGTGTTGTTCAGGAATTGCCCGAATGTCACGGCTAATTGTGAAGGGATTGCCCTCGGACTGTACGGAGGAGAAGCTGCGCGCTCATTTCGGCTGTTTCGGTTGCATCACCGACTGCTCGCTGAAGTACACAAAAGAGGGCAAATTTCGGCGATTCGCTTTCATCGGATTTGAAAGCGACGAAAGCGCTCGGGCGGCACGCCAGCAACTGCACGGCACATTCCTCGGCCCCTCGCGACTAATGGTACTTATTTTTTCTCCCGATACAACATCATTTTGTGTCTGTGAAGTGTTTCCTCTTGTGAAATATTCTTTTTTTTATGCGTTTTGTGCTGTGTAACAGCAGTACAAAACGCATATTGTTACGGGGTTGTC